TTTCATGGAAGTCTGAAACGTTAAAGTCTCTGTCACCTTATACGCCCTCTCAATTCACATAGCACCCCTATCTTTACAACTTTCATGGAAGTCTAAAACGTTAAAGTCTCCGTCACCTTATACGTTCTCCTCCAATTCACATAGCACCTATCTTTACAACTTTCATGGAAGTATAAAACGTTAAAGTCTCTGTCACCTTATACGTTCTCTCCAATTCACATAGCACCCTCTCTTTACAACTTTCATGGAAGTCTAAAAACGTTAAAGTCTCTGTCACCTTATACGTTCTCTCCAATTCACATAGCACCCTCTCTTTACAACTTTCATGGAAGTCTAAAACGTTAAAGTTTCTGTCACCTTATACGTTCTCTCCAATTCATAGCACCCTCTCTTTACAACTTTCATGGAAGTCTAAAACGTTAAAGTCTCCGTCACCTTATACGTTCTCTCCAATTCACATAGCACCCTCTCTTTACAACTTTCATGGAAGTCTAAAACGTTAAAGTCTCCGTCACCTTATACGTTCTCTCCAATTCACATAGCACCCTATCTTTACAACTTTCATGGAAGTCTAAAACGTTAAAGTCTCTGTCACCTTATACGTTCTCTCCAATTCACATAGCACCCTCTCTTTACAACTTTCATGGAAGTCTAAAACGTTAAAGTCTCTGTCACCTTATACGTTCTCTCCAATTCACATAGCACCCTCTCTTTACAACTTTCATGGAAGTCTAAAACGTTAAAGTCTCTGTCACCTTATACGTTCTCTCCAATTCACATAGCACCCTCTCTTTACAACTTTCATGGAAGTCTGAAACGTTAAAGTCTCTGTCACCTTATACGTTCTCTCCAATTCACATGGCACCCTCTTTACAACTTTCATGGAAGTCTGAAACGTTAAAGTCTCTGTCACCTTATACGTTCTCTCCAATTCACATAGCACCCTATCTTTACAACTTTCATGGAAGTCTAAAACGTTAAAGTCTCTGTCACCTTATACGTTCTCTCCAATTCACATAGCACCCTCTCTTTACGTTCTCTTTCATGGAAGTCTAAAACGTTAAAGTCTCTGTCACCTTATACGTTCTCTCCAATTCACATAGCACCCTCTCTTTACAACTTTCATGGAAGTCTAAAACGTTAAAGTCTCTGTCACCTTATACGTTCTCTCCAATTCACATAGCACCCTCTCTTTACAACTTTCATGGAAGTCTAAAACGTTAAAGTCTCTGTCACCTTATACGTTCTCTCCAATTCACATAGCACCCTCTCTTTACAACTTTCATGGAAGTCTAAAACGTTAAAGTCTCTGTCACCTTATACGTTCTCTCCAATTCACATAGCACCCTCTCTTTACAACTTTCATGGAAGTCTAAAACGTTAAAGTCTCTGTCACCTTATACGTTCTCTCCAATTCACATAGCACCCTCTCTTTACAACTTTCATGGAAGTCTAAAACGTTAAAGTCTCTGTCACCTTATACGTTCTCTCCAATTCACATAGCACCCTCTCTTTACAACTTTCATGGAAGTCTGAAACGTTAAAGTCTCTGTCACCTTATACGTTCTCTCCAATTCACATAGCACCCTCTCTTTACAACTTTCATGGAAGTCTAAAACGTTAAAGTCTCTGTCACCTTATACGTTCTCTCCAATTCATATTCACACTTTCATGGAAGTCACGTTAAAGTCTCTGTCACCATCACTCTCAATTCACATATATATCATCACACTGAGCAACTAGAGTAATCTACGCTTAAAACAAACTGACGGATGGAACAAACCGTTTATTTTGACCTGACCAACTGTATATTATAGTCGAAATACTTATATACTATAAACACTATATACATACTAACATTTGTATAGCGCCGATATCCAGCTCAGCTGCTCAAAGGCGCTTTGTTAGTTTTACGGTTATAGCGAACTATAATTAGTAGTCTTTTGGGGTTCGTTATAATGGTAGTTAACGGTAACATATGTACTAATATATGTGCATATTGTCGTGTGACGTGCATATCTGCATCTTCATACTTGCAGTTGTAGGTACCGTTATCTGAATGTATGATTATATACTCATGCCAATAATGGTTGTCACCCCCTTCAATGTTTTTAATTGGAGGAGGGTGTGTGGTGTGTGTGGGGGTTGGGGTGGGGAGGGGGGTGACAACCATTATTGGCATGATTATATATAAAGCTTACTCTTTTAATCGATAAGCATCCTGAAGCCCAGCGCAACCTGTCTGGATGGAAGTCAGGCGCTATAGAAATACATTATTATTATTATGCCTTTGTAGGGAAATGTGTTATAATGTTTCTTTACGGAAATATATACTGTTTAAATCATTAGACGAAAATTTTGTTCCAACCCATCAGTCAAAAATAATCTAATTTCCTAACAAACCTTACATGCGCCATCAACTAGTAAATCTGGTACCCGTGAAGATGCGAGTTACAATTGGTCTTCAGCAACCTGTTCTTGTCGTAACGGGCCCGTGAAGATCCGGGGTAGAATAGGTCTTCAGCAACCCATGCTTGCCGTACAAGGCGACTATGCTTGTCTTAAGGGGCGACTAACGGGATCGGGTGGTCAGGCTCGCTGACTTGGTTGACACATGTCATCGGTTCCCAATTGCGTTGATCGATGCTCATGCTGTTGATCACTGGACTGTCTGGTCCAGACTCGATTATTTACAGACCGCCGCCATATAGCTGGAATATTGCTGAGTGCGGCGTAAAACTAAACTCACTCACTCACTCTTGTCGTAACGGAATCGGGTGATCAGGCTTCCTGACTTGGTTGACACATGTCATGGTATACCAATTGCGTAGATTGACGCTGTTGATGTTGATCACTCAATTATCTGGTTCAGACTCGGTTATTTACAGACTGCCACCGTACGACGGCGTTAAACAACAAACAGAAAAAGAAAAAGTAAGTCTGTGAATATGGTTTTGTGGTCATTGTTCCAATATTGCAATAACTCAGATATGAATACATGACACCTGATGAAGGAGCAAGAATTAGCTCTGAAACGTCGTGTATAGAATAAAAAAGAAGTTGTCATCCATAAAAAAGTGTCATGTCTTCATGTTCATGCAACTTGTAAATGCCTTTCAAAAACTTAACTCAGATATGGGCTTCATTCATATGATGAACCACACCCGTTCCTTACGAGCGAAAAGCAGGGCTTCAACAACTGTGCTATCTTATCTCCCTCTACCCCGCACAAAACCCATCAATAATCAGTTTTCAAACAAAATTTGACACGCAATAGGCAGCCGATGACGAATGACAAGGTTTGAAAGTCAAGTTGAAGGTCATCGAATATCCACGCCGTCAACTGCCACGAGGCTTTACGTCAGTGCGCCACGTGAGTTGGGCAGGCCTATATATACCACGTTCATCTTTCATTGTCCATAGCGTGTTCCAGAGACTCACTAGGTAAGTCTAGTCTTCTCCATTTTGATATCAACCAAAACGTGTTCTATGACAGTCAGCGGTTAATGTCATGGTCTTAACGTTGATACATTGTTTGTTACACAGACAGACAACTATATATCGTAATTGTTATCTGAACAAGAAATATTTTGAGATTTTAAAGTAATATTTCTAAGATTATCAGCAAATGAAGGTTCATTGCGACTTGAGTTGGGATGTGTTCAAGAAGTTTCGATTTTATCAGAAGGCCTTGAAATGTTTGACTCTTTCTTTTGTCAAACTGGATAACGGGTATTCAAGTTGTCCGTAGTTAGTTGCGCAGGGTTGTGTTTTATGGACGCTAAAGAAATGTTTGATTGTGGGTTCGAATCCCGTTTCGTCCTGACTGAGTTTCTAGGTTGATCAGTGTTATCCCGTTCTAATGGTGTCACCTAAATGGTGAAGGTCGCAGACCCGCATCACGTCTAGCTATTCTCCTGTATCAAGCTGACAAGTTTTAAACTTTACATACTCACTAACTCTTCACTCAATTAAATATTGCTATGCTGTACGAAAAAGTCTTTGAAAGTCAGAAAAAACAGTTGAAAAACATGAAACATATAGTATTTGTTATGGATGACAACTTCGTCTTGCTCTTTCATCACATGGATGCTGATGAAGGACAAGATCTAGTTTTGAAACGTCATGACAAAGAATAAAATATAAATACAATGTACAAATTAGCCATAAACAAGTGGCATTATTTATGTTATAATCGAGCAAGGCACGGTATTAATTCAACGCCGTATGTAATGAACTCTGAATATTTAGATTCACTTTGCTTTAATTGATTTCCAGATCAACAGTTACGTCAGTTACATATTTTGGTAACAGAAACGACAAAATCCTTTAACTGTTCACCTGAAATAATGCTACCATGTTAGTTATGTCTCGAGAATAAATATATTGTCTTCTACATAGTCGGTATTTCGTGGTAACGGACCTTGTTATATCCAGAGTAGGATGATATTTATTCTCAAAACCTTAAAGATGTTTTAATACCTGTGCCAACAAGATTCATCATAGTTACATCAGTTTTACATCTTCTGACAGTGAGCTTTCCTCACCCGGTACTCTGATACGCCGAAATGTAACAGATGCTGTTTAAATCGATGTCTGTGGTGTGGTTGTTTAAAAGAACTTTCCTCAAATGTTGAAAGGATATCTGAAACACTGTGCAAAACTTTGAATAACCCAGATCACTTACTGACAATTTGATACTAGAAGAAATTTTTATGGATAGACAACTTTTTTTATTGCAATAGATGTGTTTCGGTGTGGATTCTAACATATATGTCGAGCAAGTGGTGTAAAGGTGCTAGCATCTACACTAGATGCGACGTTTCGGTGAGGATGCTGAAACCGTTATGAAGCAAGTAAAGGAAGTACTCTTCACACCGAAACGTGCATCTAGTGCAAGAAAGAAATTGTCTATCCATTAAAATTGTTCCTCCTCATTGTACCAGTTTTTAAATGCCACTTAAAGAAGTCATATGATGCTATCTTGACTTTTCTCTTTCAGTTAAAGATGTCGTCATTCAGATTTTACGCAGTTGTCGCCCTTGTGTGCGTCTTCTTGGTCATCCAGACCAGCGCTGAGGTGAGTGTATATCCTTAATTCTGGCATTGTTGACGTTCGAATTCATTGTTATTTTCGACACACTAAATTAATCTTGATGCTACACAGAATATTTTACAACACTACGTTTTGGTATAATACATGAAATGAATGATGTATCCTCTCTCAGTCAGGTTACAAAATACAACATAATTATTTTGGCGATATTTCAGCAGGGGAACTGAAACGAATTTTGTTTGTACTTTTACATCTTCTGACGGATTTTCTTCCTGGGGATAGTGTCTTTGGCACCGACGTTTTAAATTACGTATGATATGCCATGAATGTTGATATTACCCATTCTCCTCTTTCTCAGTCGGTTATACATGATATTATATCATGTTTTGGTAATGATATGAGAAATTAAAATCTATGCATCCTGTCTCTGTAGGTGTAATCCATTTTGCATCCTCTCTCTGTAGGTGTAATGCATTGTGCAATCTCTCTCTCAGCTCATGTTCGGAAATGTACAACTCCAGTCTCTTCATTTCAGGCTCAAGACTTCGACAAGAGTCAGATTACCGAAGGTAAATATCTATAAATAATCTACCATTCACCTTAGGATAATAATCTAAAAGACTCGTGAAGATCCATGTTAGAATTGGTCTTCAGAAACCCATGCTTGTCATCAGTGGCGATTAACGGGATCGGGTGGTCAGGCTCGCTGACGTGTTTGATCCACGTCATCGTATTCCAATTGCGATGCTCATTATGTAAATCACTGGATCGTCTGGTCCAGACAAACAAACAAGAATGAAGACAGGATTGAATGAGCGAACGAACAAACGAATGAAAATCGTCTAATGTCATCTCATTAATTGTTCGCAGAAACCTTTGCGAACCTGAGGCAGAGGAGAGATGCTGGCCAGATCAATGAGGAGGACTTCAACACATATTCCGATCATCTCAGGTAAGTGTGTTTTTTTCAGACAAAAATGTCATTCATTTGTCATTTGATTTTTGTTAGAATCCATCAATCTAAGACACAGCACTCGCATTAGCGGCAGCACTTATTTTCTTCGACTTCTTGGGGTGGCTGGGTAGCCTAGTGGTTAAAACGTTCGCTCGCCACGCCAAAGACCATTTCTGTTGTCCCTCGCCGTGATATTGCTGCAATATTGCTAACAGCGGTGCTAACTAAACTCATTCACAAACTCTTCGACTTCTTTATAACGGGTCGGTGGGGTAGCCTATTGGTAAATCGTACACTCCTCGTGGGGGTACAATGTGTGAAGCCGATTATCGGTGTCCCCCGTCGTGATATAAGTGGAATATTGCTAAAAGCGGCGTAAAACCATACTCACTCTTCTTCATAAGAGCGTTAGTAGGTATAGTAGCATATATATTAAGATGATGACAGATCAAGGCACCTTATAATTCGGGTTGTCAAAAGAGGCGACTTAACCGAACGTGATGGTCAGGTTAGGGTGACCTAGCCAGACCATTGTCATAATATCAAGCAATGTTTGTCGGGTACAGAATCAATTATTATTAGGCCGCCGACATCCAATATTTATGTCAGCAATGAATGAACGAATGAATGAACGAACGAATGAACGAACGAATGAACGAACGAACGAACGAACGAATGAGGTTCTGTACACTTTATTCATAACTGTGGCATAATAGCGAGGAATGATTCACATGCTGTATTCTACAAGAACTGCTTCCTTCTTGCAGAAAGATAATGAAGTGAGAAGTACTCCTCCACTACCGGATTGAAGTCAAATGGACAAACGGTGACGCCACAAAAATAAACATTAGTTTAATGTAACCCTTGTGTGTTTGTTTTAATTACATCTTTGTTGTGGGGCGGTCGGGTAGCCTAGTGGTTAAGGCGTTCGCTCGTCACGCCGAAGGCCCGGGTTCGATTCCCAACATGGGCACATTGTGTGAAGGCCATTTCTGGTGTCCCCCGCCGTGATATTGCTGGAATATTGCTAAAAGCGGCGTCAAACTAAACTCACGCACTCACTCACTTTGTCTGTTGTAATTGTAACATGTTTCTTGCTATGCTGACTAAACTCCACACGTCGACATGGGTCGAATTTTGACAGTAATATCTGCGGGATGCCGCTTTATCCCCATCTTTTCCCACATTAAATTCACTTAGATTTACGTAGGTTTATCAAATGTATGCCTATGTGCTACAGAAACGAACTTGAAATCATGACATGTCATGAGAAAGAAAAGCCATATTGGTTCAAATATAGATTAAATGTGTTGAAAGTTATTTCCGACATGTTTGTGTACTTCACGCGTCTACATGGGTAGAATACCGCTTGTTGGATCGCGTCGTAGTGGCGGTGGGGTAGCCTAGTGGTTAAAGCGTTCGCTCGTCACGCCGACGGCCCGGGTTCGATTCCCCACATGGACACATTGTGTGAAGGCCATTTCTGGTGTCCCCGCCGTGATATTGCTGGAATATTGCTAAAAGCGGCGTAAAACTATACTCATTGACTACACAGATATAACAAGGTTGGAATAGTAATATTCATAAGAATGTACGTATATATTTACGTCTTCTTAACTCCAACCGTACTGAATTTTCATTCCGACGTAACACAAAAACAACAACAAATACATTGCTCATTTCACACACACACACGCACGCACGCACGCACATCACACACACACACACACACACGCACGCACACACACACACACACACACTGAAAATACACGCTTTGAAGTGAAAAGGTACAATTTGTGTCCACTTCTCTCCTAACAAAAAGGGGCGGTGGGGTAGCCTAGTGGTTAAATTAAAGCGTTCGGGTTCGATTCCCAACATGATGACAATGTGAAGCCCATGTGTGGAGCCATGTTCTGCTGTCCTCCGTCGTGACATTGCTGGAATATTGCTTCAAGCGTCGTAAAACTAAACTCACTCACTCAATTGTTCAAGAGGCAGTTTGTGAGTCACACGGGAGCATGAATTACCCTTTGTATGCCAGCTTGTATAGACGTAAAAATATCGGCAATGCGGCTGTCCGAAATAAGTTCCATAGCGACTGCATTTTAGTTTGTCGGGACTTTTTGTTCAAGCAAAACAAATACAACTACTACTCTCTCAGTTAAAGCCACTTTTAAACGAAATTATTGGAGTGGGGCTTAACGTTGCGGTATTTAGCTTACATATTAAGAAGCGTCTTTCAGTTGGTTGGTTGGTTGTTTAACTCCGACCTCAGCAATATTCCAGCTATAAGACGGCGGTTTGTGAATGATCAAATCTGGACCAAACAATCCAGTGATCATCATCATGAGCATCTACTCAACTGGGATACAATGCTTGGGTCAACCAAGCCTTACCCATTAGTCGCCTCGCATTGGCTGCTGAAAACCAGGGCCTAGATTTTCGAAGCTCTCTTAGCGCTAAGATAGTCGTAAGTTAAGGTTAATGTATGGCACTTACGACTATCTTAGCGCTAAGAGAGCTTCGAAAATCTAGGCCCAGGGTGCCGTTGTACAAAACAACTTAGCGCTAATGTGATCAGACAGACAGACAGACAGACAGACAGACAGACAGACAGACAGACATTTTATTCAGTAATAGGCCACTGCCCAAAATACATTCATAAATATAATACAAAGTTACATGCGTTTTACCAGGGAGACTATATAGTGTTGTAGATTATCCCTGGTTTTACATAAAAAACATCAGAATCTCTTATTTTCCCAACATTATATAAAAATAGGCACAAATTATTTATAACATTTATGTTTTATGAAGTCATTATGTTTATAAAACTGTGTTGTGAAATAGGATGTTTCAAATATTTACCCAGAAACGTATTCCTTATATCTAAGTAGGCTTTACAATAAAGTAAAACATGTATTTCATCTTCAATTAAATTAAGATTATTTTTGTAGCAAAAAGGACAGAATCTTGAATAATAAGGGACATTGTTATATCTACCGGTCTCAGAGCTAAGTTTAAATTTACCGCATCTAAATTTTGTTAAACAATTTCTTAAATATGGGGCAATACCTAAACTGAGATAAGTTTCAACATTCAGGAGGGACTTGAAAAGAATATAATTAGAACACTTGGTTGTACTATGTAGGGATGAGTACCAATCTTGTGAAAGATTATCAGACAATCTTTGCTTTAAAACAGAAATGAAACCATCAATATCTCCAATATCCTGTGAAATCCAAACAAAGCCAAACCCAAATCTAAATAAAATATTCTTGATATGAGATGCCCATGTCGTCCGTCCAGATTCATCCAAAGACTTAAGCATTAAATAAAACTGATGAGGTAATCTACAACTTGGAAGAGTTAAAAGTCTACACCAATATTTAACTGCCCTTGACATATAAGTAAGTTGAAGAGGGAATCTGCCACATTCACCAAGAACCATATTGTTGCATGTATTTTACCAACTTTTAAGAGATATTTACATGTCTTTATCTGGATTTGTTCAATGATTTTACAATGGGTAACACCCCAAATTTCTGAACCGTAACAAAGAATAGGTTTAACCCTAGCATCAAATACTTTAAAAAGATCCGCACATGACAGATAACCTACTCTTTTTTTATATCTATAGATAGCCATAAGGGCTTTATTGGCTTGAGAAGCAAGAGTAGTGTGAGCTTTAGTCCAAACTAGCCTAGGAGTGAACACAATACCCAAGTACCTGTTGTATGAGACAACTTCCAGCCTTTGCCCATTAAGAAACCACTTTTCATACTGTCTAAGGGGCCCGCTATTCCTGAAAACAATAACTTTAGTCTTATTAATATTGACCTTCATACCGGTGAGTTGACAAAATTTTCAAGCCCATGAATCTTCTTCTGAAGCTGGAGAGCAGTATCCGAAACTGAGGAAGTCTCTGTCACCTTATGTCAGGCGTTATGTTACACATACATAGGCCCGCTATTCCTGAAAACAAGTCAAAAATAATTCAACTTTAGTCTTATTAATATTGACCTTCAGGTCCCCAGCAACATGTTTGGTGGATGCTTGTCGTAAGAGGCGACTAACGGGACAACTTGGTTTACTTTTCAAGCCACATGAACTCGATATTTCTTCTAAAGCTGGAGAGCAGTATCCGAAACTGAAACGTTCTCTCCGATTCACATAGCAGTCTTTGGGGTTCGGGTTATTATGCCCTCTCTTTACAACTTTCATGGAAGTCTGAAACGTTAAAGTCTCCGTCACCTTATACGTTCTCTCCAATTCACATAGCACCCGCTACGTTTTGGTATTATACATGAAATGAATGATGTATCCTCTCTCAGTCAGGTTACAAAATACAACATAATTATTTTGGCGATATTTCAGCAGGGGAACTGAAATTTTTTTGTTGGTACTTTTACATCTTCTGACGGATTTTCTTCCAGGGGATAGTGTCTTTGGCACTGACGTTTTAAATTACGTATGATATGCCATGAATGTTCATATTACCCATTCTCCTCTTTCTCAGTCGGTTATACATGATATCATATCATGTTTTGGTAATGATATGAGAAATTAAAATCTATGCATCCTGTCTCTGTAGGTGTAATGGATTGTGCAATCCCTCTCTGTAGGTGTAATGCATTGTGCAATCTCTCTCTCAGCTCATGTTCGGAAATGTACAACTCCAGTCTCTTCATTTCAGGTTCAAGACTTCGACAAGAGTCAGATTACCGAAGGTAAATATCTATAAATAATCTACCATTCACCTTAGGATCATAATCTAAAAGACCCGTGAAGATCCATGTTAGAATTGGTCTTCAGGAACACATGCTTGTCATCAGTGGCGATTAACGGGATCGGGTGGTCAGGCTCGCTAACGTGTTTGATCGACGTCATCGTATTCCAATTGCGATGCTCATTATGTAAATCACTGGATCGTCTGGTCCAGACAAACAAACAAGAATGAAGACAGGATTGAATGAGCGAACGAACGAATGAAAATCGTCTAATGTCATCTCATTAATTGTTCGCAGAAACCTTTGCCAACCTGAGGCAGAGGAGAGATGCTGGCCAGATCAATGAGGAAGACTTCAACACATATTCCGATCATCTCAGGTAAGTGTGTTTTCATCTAAAAATGTCATTCATTTGTCATTTGATTTTTGTTCTAATCCATCAGTCTAAGACACAGCGCTCGCAATAGCGGCAGCACTTATTTTCTTCGACTTCTTGGGGTGGCTGGGTAGCCTAGTGGTTAAAACGTTCGCTCGCCACGCCAAAGACCATTTCTGGTGTCCCTCGCCGTGATATTGCTGCAATATTGCTAAAAGCGGTGCTAACTAAACTCACTCACAAACTCTTCGACTTCTTTATAACGGGTCGGTGGGGTAGCCTATTGGTAAATCGTACACTCCCCGTGGGGGTACAATGTGTGAAGCCGATTATCGGTGTCCCCCGTCGTGATATAAATGGAATATTGCTAAAAGCGGCGTAAAACCATACTCACTCTTCTTCATAAGAGCGTTAGTAGGTATAGTAGCATATATTGCTAAGATGACCTGACCTTCACAGGTCAAGGCACCTTATAATTCGGGTTGTCAAAAGAGGCGACTAAACCGAACGTGATGGTCAGGTTAGGGTGACCTAGCCAGACCATTGCCATAATATCAAGCAATGTTTGTCGAGTACAGAATCAATTATTATTAGGCCGCCGATATCCAATATTTATGTCAGCAATGAATGAACGAACGAATGAACGAACGAATGAACGAACGAACGAATGAATTAGGTTCCGTACACTTTATTCATAACTGTGGCATAATAGCGAGGAATGATTCACATGCTGTATTCTACAAGAACTGCTTCCTTCTTGCAGAAAGATAATGAAGTGAGAAGTACTCCTCCACTACCGGATTGAAGTCAAATGGACAAACGGTGACGCCACAAAAATAAACATTAGTTTAATGTAACCCTTGTGTGTTTGTTATAATTACATCTTTGTTGTGGGGCAGTCGGGTAGCCTAGTGGTTAAGGCGTTGGCTCGTCGCGCCTAAGGCCCGGGTTCGATTCCCCAGATGGGCACATTGTGTGAAGGCCATTTCTGGTGTCCCCCGCCGTGATATTGCTGGAATATTGCTAAAATGCGGAGTCAAACTAAACTCACGCACTCACTCACTTTGTCTGTTGTAATTGTAGCATGTTTCTTGCCATGCTGACTAAACTCCACATGTCGACATGGGTCGAATTTTGACAGTAAAATCTGTCGCTTCATCCCAATCTTTTCCCACATTAAACACACTTGGATTTACGTAGGTTTATCAAATGTATGCCAATTGTGCTACAGAAACGAACTTGAAATCATGACATGTCAAGAGAAAGAAAAGCCATATTGGTTCAAATATAGTCTTAGATTAAATGTGTTGAAAGTTATTTCCGACATGTTTATGTACTTCACGCGTCTACATGGGTAGAATACCGCTTGTTGGATCGCGTCGTAGTGGCAGTGGGGTAGCCTAGTGGTTAAAGCGTTCGCTCGTCACGCCGACGGCCCGGGTTCGATTCTCCACATGGCTACAATGTGTGAAGCCCATTTCTGGTGTCCCCCACCGTGATATTGCTGGAATATTGCTATAAGCGGCGTAAAACTAACCTCATTGACTACACAGATATAACAAGGTTGGAATAGTAATATTCATAAGAATGTACGTATATATTTACGTCTTCTTAACTCCAACCGTACTGAATTTCCATTCCGACGTAACACAAAAACAACAACAAATACATTGCTCATTTTTCACACACACACACACACACACACATACTCACGCAAGCACGCACGCACACACACACGCACTCTGAAAATACACGTTTTGAAGTGAAAAGGTACAATTTGTGTCCACTTCTCTCCTAACAAGAAAGGGGTGGTGGGTTAGCCTAGTGGTTAAATTAAAGCGTTCGGGTTCGATTCCAAACATGAATACAATGTATGGAGCCATGTTCTGCTGTCCTCCGTCGTGACATTGCTGGAATATTGCTTCAAGCGTCGTAAAACTAAACTCACTCACTCAATTGTTCAAGAGGCAGTTTGTGAGTCACACGGGAGCATGAATTACCCTTTGTATGCCAGCTTGTATAGACGTAAACATATCGGCAATGCGGCTGTCCGAAATAAGTTCCATAGCGACTGCATTTTAGTTTGTCGGGACTTTTTGTTCAAGCAAAACAAATACAACTACTACTCTCTCAGTTAAAGCCACTTTTAAACGAAATTATTGGAGTGGGGCTTAACGTTGCGGTATTTAGCTTACATATTAAGAAGCGTCTTTCAGTTGGTTGGTTGGTTGTTTAACTCCGACCTCAAGCAATATTCCAGCTATAAGACGGCGGTTTGTGAATGATCAAATCTGGACCAAACAATCCAGTGATCATCATCATGAGCATCTACTCAACTGGGATACAATGCTTGGGTCAACCAAGCCTTACCCATTAGTCGCCTTGCATTGGCTGCTGAAACCAGGGCCTAGATTTTTCGAAGCTCTCTTAGCGCTGAGATAGTCGTAAGTTAAGGTTAATGTATGGCACTTACGACTATCTTGAAGCCTAAGAGAGCTTCGAAAATCTCTAAGTCCAGGGTGCTGCTTTACAAAACAACTTAGCGCTAATGTGATCAGACAGACAGACAGACAGACAGACATTTTATTCAGTAATAGGCCACTGGCCCAAAAATACATTCATAAATAAATATAATACAAAGTTACATGCGTTTTACCAGGAGATTATATAGTGTTGTAGATTATCCCTGGTTTTACATAAAACATCAGAATCTCTTATTTTCCCAACATTATATAAAAATAGGCACAAATTATTTATAACATTTATGTTTTTTGAAGTCATTATGTTTATAAAACTGTGTTGTGAAATAGGATGTTTCAAATATTTACCCAGAAACTTATTCCTTATATCTAAGTAGGCTTTACAATAAAGTAAAACATGTATTTCATCTTCAATTAAATTAAGATTATTTTTGTAGCAAAAGGACAGAATCTTGAATAATAAGGACATTGTTATATCTACCGGTCTCAGAGCTAAGTTTAAATTTACCGCATCTAAATTTTGTTAAACAATTTCTTAAATATGGGGCAATACCTAAACTGAGATAAGTTTCAACATTCAGGAGGGACTTGAAAAGAATATAATTAGAAGACTTGGTTGTACTATGTAGGGATGAGTACCAATCTTGTGAAAGATTATCAGACAATCTTTGCTTCAAAACAGAAATGAAACCATCAATATCTCCAATATCCTGTGAAATCCAAACAAAGCCAAACCCAAATCTAAATAAAATATTCTTGATATGAGATGCCCATGTCGTCCGTCCAGATTCATCCAAAGACTTAAGCATTAAATAAAACTGATGAGGTAATCTACAACTTGGAAGAGTTAAAAGTCTACACCAATATTTAACTGCCCTTGACATATAAGTAGGTTGAAGAGGGAATCTGCCACATTCACCAAGAACCATATTGTTGCATGTATTTTTACCAACTTTTAAGAGATATTTACATGTCTTTATCTGGATTTGTTCAATGATTTTACAATGGGTAACACCCCAAATTTCTGAACCGTAACAAAGAATAGGTTTAACCATAGCATCAAATACTTTAAAAAGATCCGCACATGACAGATAACCTACTCTTTTTTTATATCTATAGATAGCCATAAGGGCTTTATTGGCTTGAGAAGCAAGAGTAGTGTGAGCTTTAGTCCAAACTAGCCTAGGCGTGAACACAATACCCAAGTACCTGTAGTATGAGACAACTTCCAGCCTTTGCCCATTAAGAAACCACTTTTCATACTGTCTAAGGGGCCCGCTATTCCTGAAAACAATAACTTTAGTCTTATTAATATTGACCTTCATACCGGTGAGTTGACAAATTTTTCAAGCCCATGAATCTTCTTCTGAAGCTGGAGAGCAGTATCCGAGACTGAGGAAACATCATCCGCAAACATTAGAGCATATAAATTATTAACATCAGGTGTAATAAATATACCACGGCCACCAAATTGCTCCATACTTTCCATAAGCTGATTAATAAAGATAATAAACAATTGGGGACTGAGGATGCAACCCTGCCTAGTACCTATACTACAATCAAAATAACTTGAAAGACCTTGAGATGTTCTGACACAAGCTGACAACCTACCATACATTGATACAAGGATGTTATAGAATTTACCACCAACACCAACTTTTTTTAGACTTGACAGAAGAATTTCATGATTAACTGTATCAAAGGACTTGAGAAATCTATAAACAGACAATAGAACCTTCCTTTCTTCTTACATGAATGTTTCTGTACCATAGCTTGAAGTGAGAAAATGTGGTCAGTAGTAGAATAGTTACTCCTGAATCCTGCCTGAGCTTCATGAATAATATTCTTCTCCTCACACCAAACCTGTAACCTACTGTTGAGAATGGAAGTGAATATTTTACACACAGAATCAATAAGAGAGATACCTCTATAATTATTGGGGTTACTTTTTACACCAGATTTGTAAAAAAGGACAGATAATGCTTTTACCCCAAAGCACCGGAAAAATACTGTCTTGGAAAATCTTGTTAAACAACACTGTAAAATAATTGCTGATAAAAGTCTTAGAAGCTTTAATAAAGTTAATTGCAATACCATCTGGTCTAGGAGACTTGTTTTTTGCCAGTTTATCAATGTGAAGTAAGACTTCGTTTTCAGTAATGTCACAATTTAATGTTTTTTAGCTCTTCTTCCTTGATGGACTCTGAATTGATATCACTGTCATACTCATTACCAGAATTCTCAGTTAGAAGCCCTGAGAAGTAACTGAACCAGTCTTCACAGCTTATATCGTACGTAGTGTCACATGTTGAGGTTGAACCTGATTGCTTTAATGTTTTCCAGAATTCCTTTGGGTTGTCTCTTGCTGCAATAAGTTTCTCTTTTTGTACATCGAAGTATGCTCTTCGTTTGCTGTTAAAAGTCTTCTTGAAAGATTTACGTAGGGTTTTATAAATCACAATATCCAAGTTAGTGTCTCTATGATCTCTTTATGCTTTATATTTCATATGTTTTAATTGTTCGAGTTCTTGGTCCCACCATGGGGGTTGAGGTTTAGAGTTAATATCATGGTAACCTGAAATATCTTCTTATTGTGGTCTGCAGCTCGCTTATACATTTCAGTGAAAACATTTAATGAATCTTCAATATTGGTGTCTATACAGTGATATAATTTACTACGTAGATTTTCAAACAATTCTTGGAACTTAGAGATAAATAGATCACAGAACTCTCCATTCCACACATATTTAGTCCATATTGTTGTTGAATTACTCTCTGCAGAATTACTAGTTGGAGAATTTGATAGTACAGTTGGCTGTAGTGCACCAATCATGTTGGGTAGCAGGATGTTCTGAGAGCAGTAAATAGGGAAGTGATCAGACACATCACAAGTACCAACACCAAAATCAGCAACTCTAGGAAACACTGGTGTCGATGCAATCATGTAGTCTACTAGACTAGAACCGTTATGTGCAACACAAGTAAACTGCTCTTGTTTATCCTCAAATAGTCTACCATTCATGATATGGATTCCAAATGTACAGCACAATTCCATCAGTTTTTTGCCAAAGTTATTATGATATAAGTTATCTTTACTTGATCTTGGCATTTCAAAATCATCTGAAGGATAATCATCAACATCTCTCACAATAAAATCAATGTTATCGTTAGGGATGAAGTCCAAAAAGTCTTTAGTCCTAGCATTTAGGTCAGCAGCTAGAAATAATTGTTTGTCCGGGTGATCAGCAGCTATAGTGTTTATATAATGTTCAAGGGTGTCAGTTCCATCATTGTCACTATTGTCATACACTGGAGAGCCCTCTGGTGAGATCTAATGTGATCAATGACCTATG